CGGAGCATGGCTACCCCAAGGAGGCATTTACCAGCCAAAATTCCTGCTGGAGGCACCCAGCACAGCCACTCCACTGAACCCCAGCGCAGAGCAGAGGGACTGGAGGTGCTCAGCCTGGAGAAAAGGAGGCTCAGGGGTGACCTTGTCACTCTGTACAGCTCCTGAAGGGTGGCTGTGGTCAGGTGGGGTTGGGCTCTTTCTCCAGGCACTGACAGAACCAGAGCACACAGCCTCAGGCTGCACCAAGGGAAATGCAGGTTGGATATCAGGAAAAAGTGTTTTATAAAAAGGAGATAAAGTTCTGGAGTGGCTGCCCGGGGAGGTGGTGCAGTCACCATCCCTGGGGGTGTTTAACAAAGCCTGGATGTGGCACTGGGTGCCAGGGTTTGGTTCAGGTGTTGGGGCTGGGCTGGGCTCGATGATCTTGGAGGTCTCTTCCAACCTGGGGATTCTGTGAATTCTGTGATTCTGTGAATTCTGTGAGTTCTGTGAAATCTGTGAGTTCTGTGAAAACTGTGATTCTGTGATTCTGTGAATTACATGACTCTGTGAATTCTGTGATTCTGTGATTCTGCGAATTCTGTGGTTCTGATTCTGTGATTCTGTGAAATCTGTGATTCTGTGATTCTGTGAATTCTGTGAAATCTGTGAATTCTGTGAAATCTGTGATTCTGTGATTTTGTGATTCTGTGAATTCTGTGAGTTCTGTGAAATCTGTGAGTTCTGTGAAATCTGTGAGTTCTGTGAAATCTGTGATTCTGTGATTCTGTGAATTCTGTGATTCTGTGATTCTGTGATTCTGTGGCTGGGAAGGTTCTGGGGCAGCCTCCTCCCTGCTGCTGCTCTGCACCACGGTCACACAGAGGCCACCAGCTCCTTTTGGCACCTGGGCCAAGCCGGGATCGTGACAGCCCAAAAATAGTCCCTCCCCTGCCAGGCGAGGCGGGGAGACACCCTGTGATCAAAGATGGGGAAGCACGAGGAACGAAAGCACTGCCCAGTAGTCGCAGCAGAGCAGCTGCCTGACACTTGTGGAGCTTCCTAGAGCCCGGAGAGAGGATGTGAAGGAGGAGGAGGAGGATGATATGGAGGGCTCAGCAGATGTTTCATTGGAGCTGCTCCCATGCGTGAGAGAACGCACGGAGCCGCTCGACGGAAAATGTGCATCCAGAAGTGGACATGGCACTGGAGATGAGATAATTATTAAGGCATTTCTATTCTGGAGCTTTTCAGTGGGGAGTTTTACACGATAATGAATGTTAGCGGTGCCTTTCTACACGCACACGCGTTCCCTGGCTCTTGGTCACTGATATGTCCCCAGGTCTGTCCCTTTGGCCACAAATAGCTCATTGCCCTATTTGAAAGGTTCCTGGTGGAGTGCAGCCAGGTTTACCCGGCTATATTTACCTAAGCTGGCAAACTGGGCCACGATCCTCCCGGCTCTGCTGCTATATATAAAGGGGAACGATGCAAAACAAACCAGCAAACACCCCATCAACTCTAAACCAAAATGTGTTCTGCGCTGCCTGGCGGTGCTGAGTCTCAGAGCTGTGCCCAGGTTCCCTGGGGGTGGTCAGGAAACACTGGGAATTCACTGGGAATTCACTGGGGATTCACTGGGGATTCACTGGGAATTCACTGGGAATTCACTGGGGATTCACTGGGAATTCACTGGCAGCAGGTTGTCAGGTGCTAACCCCGCTGTTTCTGGGGGACACTTCGGGACGGGTCCCGGGTGGTGCAGAACGGCCCCGAGGGGCGGCCGGAGCCGCGGGAGGCGGCGGGGCTGAGCGGGGCCGAGCGGGGCTGTGCGGGGCCGAGCGGGGCCGAGCGGGGCCGAGCGGGGCTGAGCGGGGCTGAGCGGGGCCGAGCGGGGCCGAGCGGGGCTGTGCGGGGCTGTGCGGGGCCGAGCGGGGCTGTGCGGGGCCGAACGGGGCTGAGCGGGGCCGAGCGGGGCTGTGCGGGGCCGAGCGGGGCCGAGCGGGGCCGAACGGGGCTGTGAGGGGCTGAACGGGGCTGTGCGGGGCCGAACGGGGCCGAACGGGGCCGAACGGGGCTGTGCGGGGCTGAGCGGGGCCGAGCGGGGCTGAGCGGGGCTGAACGGGGCTGTGCGGGGCCGAACGGGGCCGAACGGGGCTGTGCGGGGCTGTGCGGGGCCGAGCGGGGCTGAGCGGGGCTGAGCGGGGCCGAGCGGGGCCGAACGGGGCTGTGCGGGGCTGTGCGGGGCCGAGCGGGGCTGAGCGGGGCCGAACGGGGCCGAACGGGGCCGAACGGGGCTGTGCGGGGCTGAACGGGGCTGAACGGGGCTGTGCGGGGCCGAACGGGGCTGTGCGGGGCTGAACGGGGCCGAACGGGGCTGTGCGGGGCTGAACGGGGCTGTGCGGGGCTGAACGGGGCCGAACGGGGCTGTGCGGGGCTGAACGGGGCTGAACGGGGCTGTGCGGGGCGCTCATCATCGCCGCCGCCGCCGCGGATGCTCCGGCACCGCTCGGCGCCCGCCGCAGCTCCGGGCGCTGCCGCCAGGTGGCGGCCGAGAGACCAGGACCGGGACCGGGACCGGATCGGGATCGGGATCGGGATCGGGATCGGGATCGGGATCGGGATCGGGATCGGGATCGGGATCGGGATCGGGATCGGGATTGGATTGATCGGATCGGGATCGGGATCGGGATCGGGATCGGGATCGGGATCGGGATCGGGATCGGGATCGGGATCGGGATCGGGATCGGATTGATCGGATCGGGATAGAGATCGGGATGGGGATCGGGATGGGGATCGGGATCGGGATCGGGATCGGGATCGGGATCGGGATCGGGATCGGAATCGGGATCAGGACTGGGACCGGGATCGGGATCAGGATCGGGATCGGGATCGGGATCGGGATCGGGATCGGGATCGGGATCGGGATCTGGATCGGATTGATCGGATTGGGACCGGGATCGGGATCAGATTGATTGGGATCAGGATCGGGATCGGGATTGGGATCGGCACTGGGATCATGATCTGGATCAGGACTGGGATCGGGATCGGGACCAGGATCAGGATCGGGATCAGGATCGAGATCGAGATCAAGATCAGCATCAGGATTGGGATCAGAATAGGGACTAGGATCAGCACTGGGATCGGGATCAGGATCAGGATCAGGATCTGGATCAGGACCGGGACTGGGACCGGGATGAGAATCGGGATCAGGATCAGCATCAGGACTGAGACCAGGATCGGCACTGGGATCGGGATCGGGATCAGCACAAGGATAGGGATCAGGATTGGGACCAGGACTGGGATCAGGATCAGCATCGGGATCAGGATCAGGATTGGAATTGGAATTGGAATTGGAATTGGAATTGGAATTGGAATTGGGATTGGGATCGGGACCGGGATCAGGATCGGGATCGGATTGATCAGGACCAGGATCAGCACAAGGATACAAGTTGGGATCCGGACTTGGATCAGGACAGAGTTCGGAATCGGCACTGGGATCACGATCAGCACTGGGGTCGGGATCGAGATTGGATTTGAGATCAGCACCCAGGATCAGGATCAGGATTGGGATCAGGATCAGCACCGGGATCGGGATTGAGATTGGCATCAGCACAGGGATCAGGGTCGGGATCAGGACTGGATTGATTGGGATGGGGACCAGGATCAAATTAATTGGGATCAGATTGATCAGGATCGGGATAGGGATGGGGATTGAGATCAGGATTGGGCTAGAGATTGGGATCCAGAATGAGACAGGGATAGGGACTGGGATTGGGATTAGGACTGCGATTAGGATTGGGACTCAGAATGGGATGGTATTTGATATTGGGATTGTTCCAGACTCTAAAAGGGAATGCCAAGAAATAGGGAGAGTTGCTTGTACCATGGGAAGACAGCGATAGGAAAAGGGGTAAAGGTTTAAAAGTGAAAGAGGGGAGATTTAGATGAGATATCTGGGAGAAACTCCCCCACGAGCTGCAGCTGCCCCAGCCCTGGAAGTGTCCAAGGCCAGGCTGGAGCAGGCTGGTCTGTGGAAGGTGTCCCTACCCATGGCAGGGGTGGCACTGGATGAGCTTTGAGCTCCCTTCCATCCCAACCCATTTCATGATTCCATGACACACCTGGGTGGGAAATTCTGGTGCACTTTTGACAGCCCAAGGTTACTTTGCATTGCTTGGCCTGAAGAAAACATTGAGAGATGTCGACATCAGGTCCCAAACCCTCCTGGCTTCCCAGGGAGCAGCACGAGCCCAGAGCAGAACTACCCAGCCTCACACTGCCTTTGGCCAGGGTTCATCCCCAGCAGCTCCTCAGCCACCAGGACTGACCTCACAAAAACCTGGAGATCCTGGGAGCAGCTCCTGTGCTGGGATTTTGAAACCCTGTGAAAATGATGCCCTGAGAAGGCTGAGCTGGAACAGAGGCTGGACAGAGCTCCAGAATAAAGCAGGGATTTATTCAAAGCATCTCCTCCATGGATCCACCTTGGGCAGCACCAGAGCCCAGCCAGGGCTGCACCCAAATGAACCAAAATGGTCCCAAAATGCACGAGCGCTCCCGGGGGCTCTCCCTGGGATCAGTTCTGCTCCATTGGCACCTTGGAGTTCATTGTCCCATTCCAGCTTCAGCCCAGGCAGTCCCACCCTGCTTGTTTTTCTCTCTCCAGCCCACGGTGTTTGTGCTCCTGGGCTGAGGTTTGGATCATTTGTCCTTGGTGCCCAGCTGGAGCAGGAATTGTTTTGTCTCTGCTCTGTGCAGAGAGCTCAGCATCCCCTCATGTGGAGCCCAGACCCACACACTGAAGCAGCACAGAGTCTGAGAAATAGAAAAGCTAAACTTGAGGCATCAAAAACACTGATCCACAGTTTTCAGCCCAGATGAAAACTTTCAACTTCTTGTTTCAGCCTGGTTCTGTCACTCTTCCCCTTGTCTGCCTGGAAGTGGCTCTGATGCTTCTTCCTCTTCCCTGCTTTGGGCCTCTCCTGCCCACCACAGCCACCAACTCCTTCTGTTTGCAGGTTCCCAGCTCCAACCAGCAAAGATTTAAGAGACAAAAAAAGCTTACAAGCAATTTTTTTCTCCCCTCCTACACAACATTTCTGATGGCCTGAAAGGTACCTGCCATTTCCTGAAGTCAGCTCAGACCTCCTGCGCAGCGTGTGAGAAACAAGGGATAAACAAGGGGATAAAATCCTGTCCCACATCTGAAACCCAACTTCACAACAACTATGCACTAAATGACACATGATAACGGGGAAGGAGATGCCAGCTCCCCTAATGAATGGTGGTGAGCAAGGCTGGAAAAATAAATTATATAATAATCTCTTATTATACCCCTTTGACATAAATTCATCTTGACCTGGACCAACGGTGCTGCTTTCCAAGGGAAAATAATCAGGGTGAAGCTTTAATCATGAGTCAGGAGGCCAGTGCAGGGTGGTTTGTTAGAATTTTGCTTCAGCTGGTAAATTTTGTGGAAAATTTGGGGATGGGGTGAGCAACTTTCACACAGAAATTCCAGTTCCTGCCTCTTAGTGGTGGCTGGGAAGGAGCTGCTGAACCTCAGCTTCAGGAATCGGCTTTTGGAAGCCCCAAGGAGATGTTCAAGGCTCTGCAAGAGCAGGAAGGCCCTGTTGTTTCACCACAGAACTGTCCAAAACATATCCAGGTTCTTCCCTTTGGGCTGGTGGGAACTTTCCTCCAATGAATTGGGAATGACTGGAGGCTCAGGTCTGTGTTCCTGCTGGGAATGCACGTGCTGTTACTTTGGTTGGGTTTCTGGAGGTCTTGTTTGCTTCTTTCTTGCTCAGCCCTACAATGGGGATGGAAAACAATCCCTGGGAAATCCTCAGTGAGAGAGAGCAGATCTGGGAGGAAGAGCTTCCCTCTCTCTCATTTATTCTATTTATTTATCCTATTTTTCCATTGTCCAGTCTCCTGCAGGAACCTCTCCTAGGCAGGAAGGATTAAGAACTGGCTCTACCAGAACACAGGGCCCACCTAAATATAAACCTGGAGAGGAGAAGCTCCAGGGAGAGCTCAGAGCCCCTTCCAGGGCCTAAAGGGGCTCCAGGAGAGCTGGAGAGGGACTGGGGACAAGGGATGGAGGGACAGGACACAGGGAATGGCTTCCACTGCCAGAAGGCTGGGATGGATGAGGAATTAGGAAGAAATTATTCCCTGTGAAGGCAGTGAGGTCCTGGCACAGGTTGCCTAGAGAAACTGGATATGGAAGCTTAAAACTTGTAGCTGAAGAGAAGAAAAGCTCAATATACTCTCACAAGGTGTGTGGCAGGGGAATGTTCTTTATTTTGATGTCTTTATTCATTAAAAAAAAAAAAAAAGAAGAAGAACTGCATGCTTTGCTATTCATCATTATTATACATAGTGTTTGTACTGGGATAAAGGAAATTAAAGTAACACACAGGAAAAAAAAGCCAGGCTGGTTGAGAGCAGTGGTTCCTTGGAATCCTGTCTCTAGCACGGGCTGGGATAAAAGTAGAAGAAATTATAAAGAGGCTTTTTGTGAATTAACATGCCCGGGAGAGAAGTTTCTTCCTGACCCTCATCAGCTGACCCAGGCACACCTTAGCAGCCATTCTCATGTATTTGTATTTATTATTTGTATCTCTCAGTGCCAAAACCCACAGGACAAACCCCTAAATCTGACTCCTGGTGCTTTCACTTCCAGCAAAGCCATTCCAAAGGAAGAATTTTTTTCCAGAAACTCACAGGGAAGGGAAGGGAACTGGGGGAGGGAAAGGCAGCTGAGCTCCCCAGCTTCACAGCACCAGGAATGGGCACCTTGGGAAGGAACGAGGGGGTTTTGGTCACTTCTCTCAGGAACATCTCACCTCTCTGAGCCCTTTGCACTGTGGCTGGGCTCTTGCAGAGCCAGCAGTGCAGCTGTGTCAGCGTGGGACATCCCCTGTGGGTGGAAATCCTGGGATCACAGAGCAGAAGGCTTGGGAAGTGCCAGGCTGGCCTTTCTGTCTCACCCCTGACTCTGCTTCCTCCTCCACCAGGTTTCCCAGAGCCACCACAGGGGTTACAAACCCTCACCTCTGTCTCACTCACCCTCGTTAAGTGTTTCCTAATTATTTTCCCTCCCTTTTCCCCCAGTTTAATCCCACCTTTTCCTGTCCCATCCTCTCCCAGCCCCAGATTTCACCCTCTCCAAAAGCAGTTTCTGTGTTTGAGAGTCCTCTGTCTCTCAGCTCTTGAGAACTCTCTGCCTCCCAACCCTTTTTAGGACAGAAACACCGTGAGCCATTTCCCTCCTTCCCATTGACAGCTTTCCCACACATCCCAATTGCTCCTCATCTTTCCCAAATCGGGGTGCCCAGCATTAAATAAAAGCATCCCAGGCAGGATCTGAGGGGAGTGGAAGGGTTAATTCCCATGTCTGGAAGGTGATACTCTATTTTATTCAATCCCAATGGTGTTTTTTCCAACACCACAGAAGTACTGAGACCCTTCCACATTTTCCTACATTCCTTTCCATTTTTTTTTTCTAGACTATTTCCCCCACGTCTGCCAGTGTTTCAATCCAGGATACAAGAAGATGGTTTTTACTGCACTTATAAGTGGTTGCTGCTGATGAATCAGCACATAAAATAGGCTAATTAATGAGTTTTGGAATAACTAACACCCCTCAGGCATCAGTTTTACCTGAAGGGATCATGTTTATCCAGAGACAAATGCTAGCAAAAGCGAAATACATTAAAAATAATCCAACAATCCTACTACGTGGAGTAAATTGCAGGGGAAAAAAAAAACCAAAACACTTAGCAGGCTATTTTTTCTTCATTAAACATGATGAGCTCATAAAAACCCAATTAATTAGTCAGAATGATGTGAATGACTCGTCAGACCTAATTTTAGCAGCCTAAAGTTAGCCAGCATTTCCACAGCAGTCCTTTCATCTCCTTCAGCAATAAATGGATAGGGATGAACTTTTCCAGGAAAAGCTCATCCTGCTGCCCTCAGCTCCCCAAAAACCTGAGGAAGGTGGAGTGAACTCTGCTATGCAGACAGAAGAGCTGCAGTAACCACAGAGAGCAGCAAACCCTGAATTTCTCTGCTGCTAAGGGCAGGTGAGATCAACCCCACAAACTTCAATATGATTATTTTACATTTGCAGGATAATTAAACACAATGCAAATGAACTGAAATCATCAGGGGCAAAAGCATGATGAAGCATTGCTCACGTAATTACAGAGGTGTGCAGAGCAGGAACTTCCACGTCACTGGCACCTTCAGAACCTTTTCCTTTTTTTCCCCAGTTTGAGCCGACAGAGGAGTTGTTGGATTTCTCCATGAAGGATCATTTTTACTCAGCCACCTGAGACAAGCATTTTTCATTTTGACAAAATCACCCTGTTTGTTCTGCAGGTTGATCTTTGTCTTTGCAAGGAAGTGCAACACGTTAAAAAGAAAAGCAAAATGAAATGAAAGAGGAATTGATATAAAATATTGCACAGCTCACTCCAGACATGATCTTCCCCTCAAGGCTCAACCTGATTTTGCTGATTTAAAACTGGAGGTCTTGTTCTGATTTTTTTTTTACCTCCTGCTTCCTTCCATCTGCGGGAGCAGCACCTCAGGGAACGGCTCATGATTAACTCATGATTAGGAATGAAAGCTCCTAACCATGGTCAGCTCATGATTAGGGAATGAAAGCTCTCCAGGATCCCACTGTGGATCCCATAGGACTGGGCAGAGTGTGAGCACGTGTCCAAAGCCACCCAGGAGCACTGGGGTCATTGATTCCCTTGTCTTACAAAAAACAGCCCCGTAGATTCCTCAGAGGAGCTCTGGGATGAGGCTGCACCCGAGGAATTATTTGTTGGGATAATGGAGCATCAGAGCCTCCTGGAGGGATTGGGAATCCCTCCAAACCCTTCCAAACCAACGAGGCAGCTTTGAAACTCCTACCCAGAGGGCCCAGGGCATCGTTTGTGTGTCCTGCTGAGGTCATTCTGTGTCTCTGGGCATGGCCAACCCCGGTCCCTGCAGGGGAGGAAAGTTCACACAGGGTTTGCTCAAGGAGCTCTCTGGGCATCCCAAGTGGAAGCTGCTCCCTTGTGCCCACAGCAGCCAGTGCAGAGCTGCCCCTGGCAGCCCAGCAGGGTGTGACAGCGAGTGACAGTGCGTGACAACGTGTGACAGCGTGTGACAGAGTGTGACAGTGTGTGACAGTGTGGGCACGCTGTCAGAGAGGTCTGGGATATAAATATTGCTGCACACAAATTCATTGTTTGCAATCGAGGAGCTACGAGGGGACAATTTGTTGGGAAGAGTTTTAAGGGCAGGAAAAGTCAGATTTGGGACTCTATGGAGAGCCTGCTTAAGGTCACAGCTGCTTTCCTGTAGGAATCCTCTTCAGGAGGCTGGCTGGGAGTTGTCACTGGCTCTTCAGGATCCTCACAACTGGTGACGAGGGCGACAGCGCTGAGGGGCTTTTGGCTGTACTTGATTTCCAGGGCTGACTTCTCCCCTTGCTTTTCCCGCGTCTTCTCAGCACGGTTCCACTCCTGCTCCTTCTGCTCCAGCTGCATGGCGCTGCAGTGAGGGGCGTACACCTCCGTGGTCTCCTCAAATTGCAAGCAGTCCACCTTGTAGTACTTCTTCTTGACGTGCAGCACATCGTTGAACCTGTGGCCCCACAGGATCTCTCTGGGGACGTAGGAGCTGCGCGACTGGTGGGAGGTGCCCGTGGAGTCCCCCGTGTAGACGAACGTCACCAAGATCTCAAAGTTGTCCTTGGCCAGAGCTTTGCGGTCCAGGCTGTACAAGGGGCTGTCGCTGTCGATCTCGTGGACGACGGTGACCGGCGTGACCAGGATGATCTGGTCGTTGAGCAGCTTCAGGTCGCGGTACTCCATGGTCATCCTGCCCTCCTTGTCCTCCCTGTAGCGCAGCAGCTGCGCGCGCACCGAGCCCTCCACCATGTGGTTGGGCCGGAAGTCCCCGATGCGCCACATCAGGCAGAATTTGTCGTCCCTCAGCCCGACCACGGCGTAGTAGCTGAAGCGGATGGTCTGGGCCCTCTTGCGGGCCGTGGCCATCTTGGCCAAGGCCGCCCCGATGATGAAGGTGTCGATGATGCAGCTGAGCACCGACTGCAGGATCACCATGAGGATGGCGAGCGAGCACTCCTCGGTCACGCAGCGGTACCCGTACCCGATGGTGGTCTGGGTCTCCAGGGAGAACAGGAAGGCTCCCGTGAAGCTGTGCACGTTTGCCACACAGGGCGTGACCTCCTCATCGTTGAACAGGTCCCCGTGCTGGACGGCAATCAGCCAGAACACCAGGCCGAAGAACAGCCACGAGAGCACGTAGGACAGGGAGAAAATCACAAACATGTGGCGCCACTTGATGTCCACCAGCGTGGTGAAAATGTCCACCACGTAGCTCTCCCACTCCCCGAAGATGTGCTTGAAGTAGACGTTGCAGCTGCCATCCTTGTGGAGAAATCTCTTCTGCAGCCTTTTCACCTCCTTTTCCGGGCTCTCCCGACAGGTGCTGCGGTAACTGACTTTGTTTCCCTGGATATTTACAGGCCTGTAGCAGCCACTTTGGTCATTCACCTTCCTCATCTCTGCTTCAGCTTACAGAAGGTGCCAGGAGTTGTTTTCCTTGTTCATTGGAAATCTCTGAAATAAAGGAGAAAATCTGTTTTTATTTGGATTTCCAAATCTGATCCCATTTACTCTGTGGCCACCATGGATAATTTTTGGACGGGTACAGGCTGTGACATCCACTACACAACTTTGCTCAGAGACAGGCCACAAACTCAATCAATTAGAAATGTCCTTATCAACCCTGAAATTTTGTCCGTAGATGAAAAGAGAAATCAAAACCTTTGTGGTGACCCTGTTGTGAGGAACTCCTTTAATGATCCCATGAAGAAACATTAAAAGCAGGATGAGCTCCCCTGAGAAGTCACAAACCACTTAAATTTGGCCAAATATCAGAGGTAATTAATTGCTTTTTGCAATTTTCCTTGTTTTCCTCCATTAGGGAAAAAAAATTGGAAAAGTCCCTTATTTAGAGGTAAAACTTCAGTCACATGGGCAGGGAAATTCAGTGCTGGTGTGTTTTAACCAAAAAATGGATCAAACACACGATCATCCATCATTATTTATGTTCCAATATTGCCCAGAAAAACCTGCTCTTGTGGAGTGAACTTGACTGAGCTGGTGCTATGGAGACATGTTTGTTCGATTTGGAAAAAATTATTTACATTTCAAATGGAAAAAAGAAACCCCTCTGGAGTCCTGGAAAGCTTCTGAAATCCTCCCCTAAAGCAAACAAAAAAATATCTGGCTGCCAAAAATATTTAAATCTTGATTAATGAGTTTGAAACAAACAGGGAGGGTGTTAATGGAAGTTGTGGGTGACACAAATTTAGGAAGTGATGTGGATTAGGAGATTCCTCTGCCAGAGCAGAGAAGAACTGAGCAGTGCCACTCCTGGGCCATATTTAGTGACCAAGAATAAGAATTACATTAGGAATTGAGACCTCATCACCTGGAATCCAATAAAAACAACGTCATTTAAAAAGGCAAATCCTTTTCCTGCAGGTCTCCAGCTCATTTCATGACATTCCAACCACTAACACACAAACCAGTCAGAAGTGATGGGGACGTAGCAGAAAAATTCAAATTTTTTGCTAATTTCATGCTTCTAACTGATATCCCTAAAGGGAAAAAAAGCAAACTAATATTTTTGTGGGAAACCTGTCATTATTCTTCCACAAACTGCAAGTTTTTGATGGAAACATGACAAGCTCTTTTCCCATCTTTAAGCTGGTTTCAGAGTTCAGATGTAGGTTTTCATTGGAGCCAAGAAATCCATGGAAGATGAATTTAAGAAAAGCAAATTTCAGAAATGCTGACTTTCCTAGGGGAATTCTTTTCCTCAGGTCTTCACTCCCTTTGCCTGAGCAGGAATGATTGCACACACTTCCAGGCAGAGGAGAGTCAGGCCCACAGAGTGTAAAATATATTGGATGGAGTGGATTAACAGCCCAAGAACTCTCCCTCATCCAAGGAACAATGACAAGCATGCAGAGACATTCATCCAAAAACACTTAAAAGCCAAACATAGTTTCCATTTATTTTTTTTTCTCTTTTTTTCCCCCCTTTTTTTTTTTTTTTTCCAGTCCAGAAATGAATGTGACATATGGTGTCGTAGCCTCAGAATGTGGCCTTCATTAAAAAACACAACATTAATGTTTCCAAAAATACTTCTTGGAATAGGGTCTTTGGAAACATTCATATGACTTGCTTTACTCAGAGTTTTAAACAAACAGTGCAGCCTGGTCTATTGAAGACGCTTGACCCAACATTTTCAAAGCTGTATTTAACAACAAACAAAAACTGGAAACTGTTGAGGGTTGGTTTTTCGGTGGTTTTTTTTTTTGTTTTCTTTTTTTTTTTTTTTTTGAGGACCTCATAATGTGAGGTGTGAAAATGAAGTGAACTGCAATCAGGAGCCAATATGATGTTGAATAAAAACATTTGTAGGGCTTTGTGTTGAGGGGCATCCCTGACCCTCTTCTCTGACAGGGACAGGAACCAGGGAATGCTGGAGCTGTGCCAGGGCAGGGGTAGGTTGGATTTTAAAAGGTTCTTCCCCCAGAGGGTGCTTGTCAGAATCAGGTATTGAGGATCCCGAGATTGTAGAAAGTCTCTGTCTGTCAGCCCCGCTGCCAAAGCAGAAGCCATAATTGGTCTGTGCTGGTTTCAAGGTTGTTTATTCTGTTTATCTCTAACATGTTCTGCTGCCCTGCCGCAGCTCTGTCCTGCAGGGCAGCGTGTGGGGCTCTGCCCTCAGTGGGATGGTACAAACATTAAATACCAGAAACTACCTGTGCTGGATTTACAATAACGTGCCAATATCTGTCACCTACATTGGACAGTGTGTCCCCAGCCTGAACCAACAGAAAAATGCCAACACCACAGTGAAACATGGAGGGCATGAAGAAGGAGAAAAAGGACAAGACACACCCAATTTCCTCCATCGTGTCCCCTTTGGACCCCTCATCTAGAATCCTAAAATTTTACTTTTGCACCCGTGCCACACTTAATTATTACTCTTATCAAACACTCAGAGCTGGTAATTCATCCTGTAAGATTGAAAACTCTTTTCCATGGACAGAGATCACAGCCAGTGTCTCTGGGGGCTCTGTCCAGGGGGGTTCCTGACCCCTGCCAGGGTCCCAGATCTGCCAGGGCAGCCAGAGGGAAGCCCTGGGTTCCCACAGGTGCTGGCACTGCCCAGGTTCCCCAAGGAATGGGCACGGCCCCGAGGCTGCCAGAGCTCCACGAGCCTTTGGACAGCGCTGCCAGGGGTGCCCAGGGTGGGATTTTGGGTGTCAGGGCCAGGAGCAGGACTGGATGATCCTTCATCCCTCCCAGCTCAATATTCCATGATTCTACTGCTTTTCTTATTGACTGCTTCAGACCAGAGTTCCTTGAAAATCCTCCCAAACATCCCAGGACTCCAAAAGGGACTCAACTTTGTGAATCAAATGCTCCTGAGTGGATCTCACTCTCTGCTGTCACCATCAGAAAATCCTTCACATTTCCAAAATCATGTTTTGCTGGCACCACCTTTGGATTTTGGTGGGGAGAACCTTGGATGGTGAAACGCACAGCAATGTGGTAAAGGCCACTCTGATTTTCTGGTCATCTGCCACAACCAGGAGACAACTTTGACGTGGAGGTGACTTGGTTTGGGAACTCTGACTCTACACAGGGTTTCTCCTAAGTACAGCTGTATTTATAGAAATACTCCCGTGGATGTGTGGGATGAGTTTTGGCTGGTACAGGAAGCCATGGAACAGGTTGGGATTTCCCAAAACACTCCAAAGTAAGTCCGCAATAAGAAAAGGGATGTGATGCAGATCTCCCTAAACCAAAACCAAAAATCCAACCCTGGAGCTGGATGGGGCAAAAAAGAACCACTGCAGAGCAGGGCTACCAGACAAGGATTGCTCCCAGGACCTGAGCTAAGATTTCTTGGTTTTGTTAAAACTTGGATTTCTCAGAGGCTTTTGGCATTGCACAGTGGGGACTGCCCCAGGTGAGCTAAAACCCCAAATTGCACAGCAGGGACTGCCTCAGGTGAGCTAAACCCCCAAATTACACAGTGGGGACTGCACAGGTGAGCTAAAACCCCAAATTGCACAGCAGGGACTGCCTCAGGTGAGTTAAAACCCCAAATTACACAGTGGGGACCGCCCAAGTGCCCCACAATGGACATTGCCCCAGGTCACCCAAAACCCCAAATTACATAGTGGACACGGCCCCAGGTGACCCAAAACCCCAGACTGTACAGTGGGGGCTGCCCAAGTGACCTAAAACCCCAAATTACACAATGGACACTGCCCCAGGTCACCTAAAACCCCAATTAAACTGTGTAGACTGCCCAAGGTGACCTAAAATCTCTGGAAAGAACCTCCTCAGCCCCTCGAAAGCATCAAAAAATGTTGCCCAGTATTTTGGGTATGCTTAAACATAATCCAAACCTGCACTTTTCAAGGCCACCTCTTCAAGTCTCTCGAGTGGAATAATGATAACAATAATAATTAATAATCATGCATCATAATTAATAAGTCTCTGGCACTGCTGTTGCTCGGAACATTCAGGTCCAGACCCACCCTTCGGTATTCCTGGGTTATGTAAATCAGTTTTAGGATCTGTCCCTGGTTCCTGGGGACACCATAGAGCAGACACCTGACTTCCCAGTTCCAGACAAGCACGGGAGTTTGGGAACCCAGCAGTTTCTCCCTCCCTGTGCTGGGGCACTCTGAGTTCTGCAGAACACTCAGGAGAATCTGATCATTACCAAATTATTACCGAGGACCACGGAGTCCCAACCAGACTGATGACCTTCAGCCTCACAGTCATTTCAAAAACCTGATTTTCCAAACTGGAAATACTTGACACATCCCTAAGAAAGCCCCACAATTCCAGGAGAGGTCCTGTTACCTGGTAAAGATTAACAAAGGGGATGGGGGAGGATTTAGAAACATTCTCTCTACTCACTAAAGCTCAGGGATCTGTTGCTGCAAATGACTCTCAGATGTTGCCAGGAAGCGTTTTCACCTTCCTCTAGCACTGACACATAAACCCTCCCCCTTTTCTGTCTTGCTTTTACTTTCTGTGGGTTTTTTCCTGGATTTCTGGGCATGTTTGTGCACATCATGAGCCTCCCCTTGCATTGCAGTACAGCTGAAGTTTGTTTTTTTTTTTTCTCTCTGTTCTTATAAATGTATTTCCTCCTTTTAAATGAAAGTTTGTTGGAGATAAAAATAAAGCAGCCAAGCCAGGCAGGGTGGTAGGAAGGGAGAAACACAGAAATCTCAAAAGATTTAGGGTATTATTTAGGGTTAATGGCAGAGAGTTGTTCTAAAGAATAAATGTATCAGAGTTCCAAAACCAGAATAATTTTTAATTATCTAAGCCAAGGCCAGGCTTTTACTGTGCTGGATCCTGAAATGCTCATCAGGGAGATACAGAAGTGCTCCAGAGAGCTGCATTCAGGGCCTCCACACTGAACCCCCAAACTGGGATTCTTTAAAACTTTCACCCCAATCCGATATGGAAGGAAATTCCTGTATTTCAAAGGTCAAAAAGGAGTGCAG